AAACCCTAAACCCGAAACCCTAACCCCTAAACCCGAACCCCGAAACCCTAAACCCTAAACCCGAACCCCCGAAACCCTAAACCCTAAACCCTAAACCCGAATCTCCTTTTTAAACCCCTCAAATTCGCCAGGCCCGGGTCCGGGGATGGGGATGGCGGCCTTTGGAGAAAAGGGCCGGTCACAGGTGGGCCTCCTTTCCGTAGGCTTTAGGGTTTAGGGTTTACGGTTCAGGGTTTACGGTTTAGAGTTTTAGGATTTAGGGGCTGGGTTCTTGTTAGGGGATTGATTTTAGGGTTTAGGGTTTAGGGGTTTATCTTGCCGGCATACAATCCAAGCCCGTGCTCAAAAAGGGGTTTATCTTGAAGCCCTAAACCCTAAACCCTAAACCCTAAACCCATTAACTTGTTCAGCATGGTTTCAGATGCCGTTGATCGGCGGATGCGAAAGCTAGCTCCGCAGTCAACCCTCCAGCTGCTAGGGCTGCTTGCTCCAACTCCGGGCGAAGTGGAAAGCCTGTTGCAAACAGGGTTTATGGTTTAGGGTTTAGGGTTTTGGGGTTTAGGGTTTAGGGTTTTAGGGCTTTGGGGTTTAGGGTTTAGGGGTTTAGGGTTTATGATAAGGAAACCATATCATTTTCTATAGACCCCTATTGTGGTAATTTAAATTAAATTCGATCCCTTAACAAGAACACAGTAGGGTGTGAAGTGTTTCCTATAAGGGGTATCTAAGGGTTTCTTCTTGAAGGGAGAGTTTAGGGTTTGCGGTTTTGGGGGTGTTTCGGGTTTGAAGTGGAAAGCCGCGTGCAAACAAAAACGGTTGGGTGATGCCTACGCCGGCCTTCTTTGCGGGAGGGTTCAGGGGTTTGGGGGTTGAGGGTTTAGGGGCCTTCTTTGAGATTTCCTGCGAAAGGTTCCCAAAAAAGGTTATGTATGGGTCCTTCTTTAAGGGAGGGTCTCGGGTTGTCAGTATCACCATTACCACCAATCAGCTACTTGAGTTTGTGAAGACAAAAGGACACGGGAGGATAACGGCAGCCACAACAGCAGCTCGTTTTTTTGGAGCATCCAACAACTTCGACGGCTGGCTCACAAATGCCGTGAAACCAATGGACATCTCTACTTCCTGTTCACCATAATTACGCGGCTTGGGAGCCAGAGAAACTGACAAGAGAGGAGCACAAACATGTTGTTTCCCCTTTTTTTTACCCACATTCGTTGTAAGCCACACGAGCCTCCGAACGTCAGCGACACAGTTGGTATGTTGTTTCCCATTTCTTCCTACGCAAGTCTACAGAAGACCTACAGAACCCTTTTAAGCCTTCCGCCCTAAGACTTATCTTTGGTCGACGCTTCCCAGGGCCGACTACCTAGCATCTCACCCTCGCCGCGGGGCTCTCCACGGCCACAGGTGGAGGCCTGGAGTGTTTGAGATTTGATCTTGGTTTGAGGGGCCGAGCCATCTAACCAAAAGGTGCCAACCTGCCTGCTTGGGGTTTAGGGTTTAGGGGATCTACTTTACCGACTAGCTCTTGCACGTTCTCCGTCTGAATTTGCGATTTGTCTTGAGATTGAACATCGGTGTGCGGGCTTTTGGGGTTTAGGGATTTAGGTGCTATCGCTCTAGAAGCTTCACAGGTTTGGCCTAGCATTTTAATAAGTGCTATGTTCGTTGTTGATTGATTAATGTAGGGGCTTTATGGGTTCTTGGTTTAGGGCTCTTGTGGGTAGGGGTGGCGAAACGACATTTTCATTGTCAATTGCCCCCAGGAGCAGCCAAGGAAACCCCACAATCTTCACTGAAACAGCTTGTGCTGCGAAGCTGCTGTCGAACATTACCGGAAGTTTCTATGGTACTTTATACGCGTGGACCCTGAGTGCCTGATTAGTTGGATCTTGATTTATGTATCCTTCCATCGTGGGCCCGCAGACTTGAATTGACGAGATTCCCCAATAATCTTAACCACCGCAAGGGCATCATCCACTTGAACCTGAGTTCCGAGCCCTGAGCGCCCCATCCAAACTCAACCCTAGTGCACCTCGTCCCCCTCAAAGCCCCCGAGATCCACAAATCCAACAATCCTGAACCTCAAACAAGAAAGCCTGTGTCTCTTTGCCAACGAGCCTTAATATACGGGCTTTAATAATTACCTATGCTATTTTTGGGGCTCCTTCTTATAATTATAGCATTTTATACCCTGAAACGCTATTCTACTGATATTAAAGCTCCTACAAGAAGCCTTAAGAATTAATCCCTGACATCAAGCCAGGAGACGGCTCCAGCGCCAGTGCAGGACGTGGCGCCACCTGCACCAGAGCCCCAGGCAGCAGGGCTATGCAGGGCTCGTTTCCGTTGCAGGGGCTTTAGGGTTTTAGTGTAGTTCGAGCAGGGCTCCTAAGCAGAACAGGTTGTTGTGACGCATTTTCGATTATTCGGGTACGAGTAGTCAGTGTGAGTCAGCACATCGAGATATTCCCTAAACCCAGCGACAAGACTCAGCACAAGTGTAACTGGCATAAGGCCGCTCCACTTAAACAGCCCATGACAGTGTGGAAGAAAATAGATGTGTGTGTGTGTAATTTTAACCCTGTTTGCGCAGTGGATCTTTGGAGTTTGCGTTTCTGGCAGGTTTCGAAATGCAGGCAAACACCAAGAATCCGTAAACACAATTTCGTACAGACTGTGATGAAACCGCTGTTTGGGCCTTTGGCTGCTTCAAGAACCCCTTGGGCTTCAGCGCGGGGACGTCCATCCTTGCCCGATGCGACATGCCCTCAAAAGCCAAAGCGAGGCATCTCGATCTCATCAAGTCCGCTTGTGCCCGCGTTGCCGTCTATGGCTATGAAGGAGACATCGTTCGAGTAGTCGGTTTGAAGCTGTTTTGAGCTAGTTTCGCGGAGATGCGATGTGGGCAAAACATTTGCGGATCTTTCAGTTTGCCAGGCCGAAACCATACACAGTGTGTGGACGAGCCTTTACCACGGTGTGGCAACCAGCTCTGTCCGGATCCAAAGTCTTGAATCAAGTCTTGCACGACCGACCAGTCAGCACGGAAGAGCTAGAAGCCACAGCACCTCCGGCACACTACTTGCACTCGCTGGCTGAGCTGGTGGCGGAAGCCAGGCAGAAACCGGCCAGATTATACCAGAGATCTATCCGGAGACCGAATCAGTTGGGGCAGGTACCCTGCCAGGGTTGCGGAAGGTATTTGGAGCCTGCTGCATTCCGCAAAGCCCGATTGCGATGCAAATCCTGTGAGCGTAGCGATCACTTGAATTATAATGCTACTCTACGAGGCACTTTGATGAGGCTGGCATTTTCATCGAAGGCGCGGTCTGTCATAAAAAACATAAGTCATTGTCTCGACTTGGACGATTTGTTGGACATGCTGCTGGAACAGGAGGGACGCTGTGCCTACTCTGGAGTTGCGCTGGAGCTTATGCGGCCTTGCACGCATTGGCGCATGTCGCTGGAAAGGCGAGATAATTCGGAGGGATATGTGCGAGACAATTGCGTGTTCGTTGCAGGTGAGTTCAATTCGTCTGACTTCAGCAGGTGCAGGGGTGTGCGAGAACAGGATGTAAGTGGCACTGCACAGTGGTCCGCACACAAAGTTGCTTCGGTGAGCAACCTCGGGGGTTTCAGAGTGGATGCTCAACGACTTCATGCAGATGTGAGTCTTGCTCTGGAGTGCCCTCGCCTGTCCTGTGCTCAAGGACGGCAGGAGTATACCCGTGCATACAACAGAACGCTGAGGGGCCGGGCCAAGATACTGGTAAGCAGTGCGAGTAAGAGATGTGCACAAGTCGGGCATGTGTGTGAGATGGGATATGGTGACATCCTGCAGATGCTGCTGGCGCAGGGTGGGCGATGCTTCTACTCAGGGGTGCCCCTGCGATACGATCAGCCTCATGTCGATTGGCAGATGTCACTGGAGCGTTTGGATAACAGCCTGGAATACACGAAAGAGAACTGTGTTCTCATAGCGGCGGAGTTTAACACGCCTGACCAGAGCAAACATGCCGTAAGAGAGGTTCGGGGATCTTCCCAGTGGTCACGTGCGAAGGTCATGCATGTTTGGGGACATGCTCGGTGCCTTTGAACCGCAGATGCCCAGACTTCCGAAAAGCAAAACCCTGCGGGCTCTGCGCGGTGGTTGCAAAAGTTAGTCGGGAGCGGGTCGCAAGTGCATAGTCACAGTCGGCCTTCCGTATTCTAAAGAGTTTCTGAGCAAGCCCCCTGCAAAACCTCTATGATTGCCTTCAACTCTAAACCCTGCAGCCCCCACAGAACCCACAAGCCCTAAATCCTATACTAGTAGAATCGCTGGACTCTGTTCTCTCGACTGAGTTTGTAACCCTGCAATGCGGGCTTCGCCCTAGCTGTGGTAGCTAGGTGGGAGGCAAATATAATAGTATAGTTTTCTGAGGTCAATTCTGAAGTTCGGGCTACGGCTGAGGAGGCCATTTGCGCACGATAGGGCCTGTACCCTTGTAAGGTTTTCAACAAGTTTACTTGGCCACCCTGCAACGCGGTCCCGTCCCTGCCTAAGAGGACGCAAAAGACTTGCCAAACTGTGAAATCCTAAACTCTAAACCAAAAGGGCACGAAACCCTCACCGCCATAGAAGGCACCAGAGCCTGAGGAGCAGCAGCCGGATCCAGAGAAGGCCCCATTCGGTTTCGGGTCCTGTGTCAAGGGGTCCAGAAAAAAAGGCACCATTAGATACTCAGCTGTGTTTTGGGCTTTGGGGGTTTAGCTTCTTGGGGTTTGGGCGGCTTGAGGTTTCGAATGCCTGGGACCGCCTGGGAGAGACAGAGCAGGGGCTGAGAGTTGCTCATGCATTAATGGGTTCTATACGTAAATCAGAAAAGATCTAGCTAGGTCTTATGGTGGAGCCTTTAATTTCTGCATGTGCTTAGGAATTTGGGCCTGCTGTTGTCAAAGCATGTTGTTGGTCCCCAAAAACGCTCCCCCTGAAAGGGTGTCTTCACCGACATTACGGGTCTAGGCTTTTGAGGGTTTAAGGTGTAGGGTTTGGGGTGTTTAGGGCTGCCCTTAAGGATTCCTGTTGCGATGGCTTGGGGATTTGCAGGCTAGGGCGTTTAGTCGAGCTCAGGGTCGTGAGGCTTTCGGTCTGTGGTTCAAAAGGGCTTTGGGTCCCAGGTTTTGGGTTTTTCAGGGTTTGGTTGGTGAGGACTTTGGGTAGGAGCCTGATCAAGATAACAACGGGCTCTTCCAAGGATCCTCCAGGTGTTCGGCTTTCCCAGAGACTCCAAGATTCCTTAATTGAGGAATATTCCATAAATTATAGTAGGATCCTTAATATGATTTAAGGTATATTCCTTAATGAAGGGATATTGGAGTCTCTGGGTTCAGGGGTTGCCAGGATGGCAGGTGGTCTGTCTCTTATCGGAGTTTCAGGCGAGACGTTCCCTGTTTCAGATGGTGTCGTCAGGCATTAGACCCCTGTTATCCGCTGCTTTTTCTTGGAAGTCTGAGGCGTTTGGACCTGGTCCTTATGGGAGGCCTCCCCGAAGCTTCCCTCCCTTAAGCCTCGCAGAGGCTTCACATCAGCCTGCCGCAAGCGTCTCCCATAAGCCATGACTTTCCCAGTCTCACAAGCTCCCCCATAGCTTTCGCACAGTTTGGGTCAAAGTTTGGTGCAGAGCCCTAACCCTGTGATGCTCTTGACGAGGCTGCTAGCCAGCAGATCTTGAAATTCTTGGTTGGCATCAAGCGGCTTGGAGGACGCCAAACTTGTCCTGAAGAGCTTCTGGTTGAAGACCCCCCAAAACCCTCATCCCAAAGTCCTAAAGCCCTAAGCCCTGCTAGCGTAGGGCGGAATCCTTGAAAGGAGTTCTGTTGAGGCACAAGCCAGAAACGAAAGCAGGTAGCCAAGCTAAGGATTTGAGGTAGTACTTAGATTCAAGCTTCAAGGCCACATGAGTGAATCAAGAGGTGTAAGGAACGAGGTTTTGCCTTTGAAGCGGCCCACGGCCCAAGGGGTGTCAGGTTCAGGGTTAAGGAATGATGTGATTAGGGTTTGGGGTGTGCCGCTTGCCCATCCTCAGTGCGCCGACTACTGGTATCCGGCAAGCAAACAAGTAATAGTTTGCAGATTGACTGACGCTTACAGGTGGCACGGGTTGCGTGGTATATGGACTTGTTTTCGATCGAATGGCTCATGCTTTGAGAAGGTATGCTGGCCTCTTCCTTGCAAACCTCGCTTCTCTAACGTATTTTGGCATTGAGAAGAGCCTCATCCAGGTCTTCCGACCCTCAAACTTACTCAAACGTTCATGAAAACCAGTTAAATGTTTATAAGACCTTGGCGACACCCGAATTTCCATAGAATATCAAGAAGCCTCGTTCACTAAGAAAACGAGCATCCTCGAACCATTTTCAAGCCCTCGCACAGCACTTCAACTCTAAACAGACCCCACCTCCCCCCCCCCCCCCCCCCCCCGCGTCATCCGAACTCTATACCGTCCTAACAGCATCTGGCCTAAACACGCGGTCTTGCTGGTGTCCACTTGGTCAGGTGTCGATGGCCGAGACCTCGAGGCATGAGCCCTTTCGGGGTCTTTTGAACCTTGGACCCTGTGGTTCGGATGCAGGGTTTAGGGTTTAAAAATGCTGGGAGTAAGGGTCGTATTACTGTTGCAGTTACTTCCATGCCGGCTGTGTCGAAGAATAGCTCTGTGGAGTATGGGATCACCCGAAGCTCCCACGCCTGAGGATTTTTGTTGATGTTTCAAAGCTTGGTGCAGGGTTTAGGGTTTCGGGCTGCCTTTAGGATTGAGTCTCTATGGTGGTTGTGGTATCATGGCTTGTGGAACCATAAGTTTTCAAAAACCGCCAAACACACATGAAACGCCTTAACTATGTTAGTCTCACACCATACAGCCTGAACTTCTGAACCCCAGGCAACTAAACCCTAAACCCTAAA